CGACCACGTGACCAGCCCGGCCGGTGCCTGGCCGCCTGGCCCTGAGCAACGCCCGCGGCGCGGCGGCCTCCACGTGGTTACCGCGGCGCGTTAACGGCCGACGCTGTCGGCTCGCTCTGCCCCGCCGGGCCTGCTGGGAACCCTTCCGGGCCCTTCAGGGTTGCATCCCTGCCGGTCTCACCACCCTACTCCCCACGGTGCGGTCTACGCCCTGAAGGGAGCCGGGGCGCCAGGGCCGCAGGCAGCAGGCTGCAGGCGTGCGCGCCAAGAGCAGGCAAGAGCCATGCCGCCAAAACTGGAGCCAAACTTGCGCATGCCGAGCTTTGCCCCCATGGAAATAATTATAATTTGATTTATATACGTCATGTAATAACAATATAAAATTGTTATAATGTGAAACATTCTGCATTTATAAGTTTGATACATGACACGTATAAAAACAATATATCTAATTATATCAATATTATATATCAGAAACAAAGACATAGAAACATTTTATAAAAATATATAATTCAGATATAAAGTTTTTACAAAGAATTGGCCAAATATTATATTTCATTTATAAAAGAAATATAGTGGCACATTATAATGTTGGGTTAAAAGCAATATATTCGGTTTATAATTACTAAATTCTCTACCAAGGCAGTAAGTAGTTTGCTCATGTTAGGAGGCAGTGGCCATGTTCTCAAGGCCTACATTCACCCTCTCTCCCGGCCATGCCTCAGCACAACCATGGAGTGGGTATCAAAAATTCCTCCCGCTCAACTCCCCATAGGGGAGACCCCAGACTCTAGTCGTGGAGTCCCCGATACCTAAGTAAACTCCAACTGCTAGCCACATGCGAGAGAATAATGACAACGCTCAATAGCATAGGTGTGCATCGGCCTGTTGATGCCGCGCTGCACTTAAAACATTAGTCCCATCATGTTCTTCAATATGACACCTATTTTGAACATTCTAGTCACTTCCTAGTGGAAGGAGGGCCAAATTTCGGAGAAAATAGCTGAGGAGCGACACTAACGCCATCTGTCGGCGTTGTTCATAAATTTTATAAACAAATTATAAAGTGTCACTTTTCTACATTTAATTTACACACGGAAGAGTAATAATCTCGTTTATCTTTGTGCCTATAAAACGATTATATTCCATATACATGGATGGTATGGTACATTAGGTATAGGTGTCGCCAAAGTACAACACACCTTATACGCAGTTAAAACGTCAGTTATAAATCCACTATTTATGGTGACATTGTTTTCAGTCACATAAATCTACGATATTTTAAATGTAGTTAAAAAATAACTTGTTTATATACTTTGAACCAAAAGGTTTGTAAAACAAAGTTATAATTACCTAATCTTACTCGTTTATAACTGCGTTTATATTTTATACACTCAATTATAACCCATTTAAAATTGATCTTATACTTCAAATATAACTCACAATATACGTTCTTCATATTTTCCCCCCATTTAAGAAGATTTTATATCCAAATATAAGCAGATTTATAATGGTTTTGTACAAAACAAATAAACCTTTTATAAAAAGTCTGTAAAAAACACGCAAGTTATACGACGTTTATATGTATTATATAAAAAAAATTATAATCATTTCCATGGGGGTGGGGCCGATCCAGCGGAGACGGCGGTGCTCCAGAGGTTTTCCAGCGTAGGCCATCCAGCGGACTTACACGGCCCTAGACCCCTTCCAGTCCCCCCAGATTAGAGGCAGTGTTCCCGAAGCCCTCCGGCATTTCCAGGCTTGCAGGCCTCCTGGCTCACCACGCCGCCCTGGGGCGTTGCGCGTTGCCCGCGGCGGCCGTCGTGTGTACACTGTACTACTGTACCCGACTGTACCACTGTACACAGCCGCCGCCTCAATCAAACTGTTATTGCAGCGAGTCCAACTCGGCTTTGGTGGATCCGTCCCCCGACCCTCCGGCCCTCCGACCCCCCGTCTGTCCGTCATCCCGCGTCGGCCCGCTTGTAGGTCAGGGCCATCTCGGCGGCGACTGGGATTCGGGACGATAAATAATGCGGGTCGGGCGGGGGCCGATTTATGGCACCGAACCAAGGCAGCCGCGCCAAATATTCTTGTTTGGGGGAAGCAGCGTCGCTGCCTCCCTTCTTATCTAGATCCACCTGACAGCCACCAAGCCCGTCGCGGCGGGGCGGCCTGGTGGGGCTGGCAGGCTGATCTCTAGGACTAGGCCGCACTGCTTAGCCAGTTTCGTGGCGTTATTGATGAAGCCGAGGAGCCGAGGCGTGTGCGCGCGAGTGTGTGTGCGAGTGTGTGTGTGTGAGTGTAAGTAGCAAAAACGTACCATCCACAGTGTGTTTGTGTGCATGGATGAATGTATATGTGTGTGGCGTGCGGCCTGCGGGGGTTGCCGAGGGTAGAGTGGTTGGGGGTGGAGGGGCCAGGGTCCGGGCGGTAGGGGCGAACTGGGTGAAGGCATCGATTTTGTTGCTCCAGACGCAGCGGAGTCTCGTGACGTCACACTCCAGGGGCGGCCAGGGGCGGCCAGGGGGGTGGGGTGCGTGGGACCGGGGGTGGGAGGGGGGCAACAGGAGGTTGCTTTGCGGGCTTTGCGGCCAGCCCCGGGCCAGCCCCACGGCCAGAGGAATTATCGGGCTTCAGGGCGCCAAGTGATCGCTCGGGACACCTTTTAGCGGGCGGGCCGGCCGCTACACTGCGGGCTGCGGCGTGGCGGTGGCGCGGTGGCGCGGTGCGGGCGGCGGGGGCGGGCCCTCCCTCCGCGCTGCGCTGTGCTGCGAAGTGCTGCGCGGTGCCGCGCGGCCAGAACGTCGACAATGGCAATTAGGTCAGGAGCAGGACCGGGGCCTCGGGGAGGGGGCGGCCAGGGCGGGCCACATCAAGCATCTGTGTCCGGCACAGCTGCGACCGCTCCGTTCCGCACCCCGGGGCGGTACGTGGAGCCATGGTGGAGCTGTGCGGGCTGCGGGGCTTCACCGATCAGGCATCAGGCAGATCCAGTTAGTCGGTCCGGCGGTCCTTGTTCCCGGCGTTCCAGGTGCACTGGGGCACACTGGGGCCGCAGGCTGAGCCCCCTCACGGACAATGGCGAAGGCCACCACCATTGTGCTCTGCTTCATGGCACGAGCTTTCATGGGAAATTAAGCCTTCCGTTTATTCATGTATTTATTTGAGCGAAATATTTTCTGAGAAGAATAGATAAACATACTATACTAAGATTCAGGATGGAAGAAGCCGCGGGCCCAATTTTCTGCTGGCTACGCTTCCTCCGCTACCGCAACAACATTTCTGACCTGGCCCGCCCGGGCCCCCATTGACACGGACCCCGGACCCCTCCCCATTGTGCGGGTGGAGAGCGACCGTCGTATTCCGAACAGGAGGCCGTCGAATTTTAATGGGCTTTTAAATGCAGCAAAAGTCGAAACTTTAAATATCAAATTGTTTCTGTAATTAATGAATGTTTAGAAATGACCATAAAATTTTATGAACTTTTGTGAAAACGGCGTGTTTCTACGACAATTTTTACCTATTGAACCTGTTAATCACACTGGCAAGTAATAACGACTCAAATCTCCTATTTTTTTTAAATTGCTCAGATTTTTCCTGTGGTTTCGAATCTGCATTGACTTTATAGCAATTCTAGAATTTTGAAGTAATTTCAAGAGATTTTACAACGCTCATTATAAATGCGTGGAGACAAAAGGACTCGCCGGTCGGTCCCCTCCGGGACCCACCCCCACACCAGGCCGGAGTCAGGTAGTCGGCCGTCACCTACCACCGCGCTACGCCGCGGCTTCTTCCATCCTGAATCTTAGTATACCTGAAAAAATAAAAATGTGCCGTTTTTGAATGAGGGAAGAATGCGAAAGAATGAATAAGTTTGGCAACAAAGGGGAACTCTCTGTACCTGTCCCCCACCCCCACCGCCGACTTTAACTTACCCCAACATTGAACCCTTACCTCGCAGCGACATGCAGCTTACACAAACAAGCGGCCTTTCCAAGGCACTCGCTCACCTGTCCCCGCCCCCCTCCCCCCCGCCTAGCCGCCCCGCTGGGCCGCAGGTCCCTGGCACGGTGCCTCCCTGACCCCGTGACCCCCGCCCCCTCCCCAGCCCTCCCGCCGCGCTACCCCCACACACTCGGGGCATGCACCCCATGGCCAGCAGCGCGCTCAGCAAAGAAGGGGGAAGGGGGGGGGCGATAAGGCGGGTGCGCTGTACCAACGTCTCAGCGCGGCAACACCCGCCGCAGCCAACTACTTCCTGCGAATAAGCAGCGGCGGTGCTGCGAGTAGTGCGAATAGTGCGACACGCATGCCTCGCTGCGCTAACAAGGGGAGAAGGCGCGCCGGGGGCCGGAAGGGCCGAAAGGGGCAAACGGAAAGGCGCGCAAAGGAGATAAACGGCGTCACGTCGCGAGGTTCTTTCATTAAGGCCGTCCCGCCGACCCGCCTGAATTACGCGCCGCGGGCTTCTCGCCTCCTTGCCTCGCCTTGCCGCCCCTCGTCACCCCCGAGGCCGTGCGGGGCGGGGCGGGGCGGGGCGGGGCGGGGCGGGGCGGGGCGGGGCGTCGCGCGGAATTAAACCGCTGCCGCTCGGCATGCCACATGCCAGAGTGCCGCGCCGTGCCCTGCCGTGCCCTGCTGAGCCGACACTACAAAAGGTGGCGGCGTACGCGCGCGCACGATATCACGCGGAATGAGCGTGTTTTGCTTGTGAAGGCTATTGTGTAGTGAATCCCGCTGAAGCTCCTTCTGCGCTCTATCTCACGCACACAGGCTCACACTCACACACACTGCGAAATGACGTTGACTCCCCCTTCCCTTTCCCACGGGAGCGGCGCGGCTCGCGCGCGTCCCGCGTGGAGCGCTGTAGTCCCCGCTGATGTGGGTCTCGCAGCGAAATAATCCCCCCGGGCCCCACGCCACGCGCCACGCCACGCGGCGCACGGTGTACAGTCCCTTCCAAAAGCGCCCGATCTTGCTCCGAGTCTTGCTCTTACCGGTAGATGGTGGCGGCGGCGGCCAGCACCGCCTCCTCGGCGCTCTCATGGCTGTTGGTGTTGTTGTTGTTGTCGTTGCTGAAGTGGTTGCAGTGCGCGGCCACTTGCGACATGGCGGCGACGGCGGGTCGTCCGGGGGCCGCGGGGGCGGGGGCCGCGGGGGCCGCGGGGGCAGGGGCCGCGGGGGCCTGGCCTTCGGCCTGGCCGCGTCTCAGGGCCGCATCGCTGCCGCCCTCCTCGTCGCGGTGCCCGCGGTGCATGCACCGAGGATCACAAGCCGCAGCCCCGGCGCGCCGTGAGGCTCGCCTTCAGGCCCGCGGCCGCCATGGCTCCGGCCCGCTCGGCCCGCTCGGCAACACCGCCCCGCCCAGAGGGCTCCGCTGCTCCGCTGCTCTGCAATCGGTGGGCGGCGTGCGTCGTGCTGTGTTCGGAGCGGCACAAGTCAGGCGCCCGCTCGCGACAAAATTACGCAGTCCGCCCGCCGCCCCGCCCCCTCGGGGCCCCAACGGCGGCCGAACGGCGCCGAATGGGGCTCAAATGGGGCAAAGGTGGCGGCCTGGCGGGGCAGCGCGGCAAAGCGGCAAAGCGCTGCCAATGCTTGCTGTGTTACACTTCCGGGACACGCACTGGGAGGTACGGGGCGATCGCGGGGGAGGGGAGGGGAGGGGAGGGGTTCGCCGGAACACTGGTGTGACAAGCGGCGCAGAAACAGGCGAGTCCATTTCCAGGCTGTCGCTCGTGGCGGTGCTCGACGCGGCGCTCCCCGGCCCGACGACGTGTGTGTGTGTGCGTGTGCGTGCAGAGGCGTCGCCTCCACGCCACTGCCGTCGTGCCCGCCCTGCGTCACGCGGCGCTCACCCGCTTCCCGCTGCTCGGGCCGCTGGTTTAATCTGCGAATAGATGATGCTCCCCAACTCCCCTTATAAGTTGGCCAAGTCGAGGCGCTCCGGCTCTCCGCCCGGCTGCGTCGCGCAGGCCGCGCCGTATGGGAGCGGGGTTCTGAATCGGGCCCTGCTTCGCCTGCCTCGCTAACTTGGCGCCGGCCTGCAGCTCTCCGCCACGCCCTGCCTCCACCACGGCCTCCGCCGACAGCACCGTAACTCTCGGTCATCGGCTGCCGCGATAGCGCTAACGCGGACCGAGTCCGGGGCAGGGCGAGGCTCGGGGCGGGGCGAGGCGGGGCGTGCCCTAGAAAGGCCGCTTCACCGAGCTCCTCCCTCGCCGCCCCGGGTTCAAACACCCGTGCTGCTCACTTTATACCCTTTCCCGACCGGCCTAGCGTAACCCAGGCAGGCAGGCAGGCAGGCAGCCGGCGGGGAGCGCGAGAGCCCTCGCCTCACCCTCCCCGGCCGTCACCAGCTGTGCTGCGCCGCTGCGCCCGTGTGGCGCTCTCTTCCATAACACACCCGGAATGGCTGTCGTGCACTGTCGTGGCGGCGACAGGCTGGCAGTGGACCGGCAGCGGGAACCACGGCAACCGGGCCGACCCCGATCCCATCGCCAGCACGGTCGGGGACGTAAGCTGGAGAAGCCTACGTAGGGCCAGGGCCCGTAGGCCGAGGCCTGTAGGCCGTAGGCATCCCGGCGTGTGTTGCGGCGCCGACCCTGCCGCTGACACATGCCTCTCTCTCTCCTCTCTCTCTCTCTCTCTCTCTCTCTCTCTCTCTCTCTCTCTCTCTCTCTCTCTCTCTCTCTCTCTCTCTCTCTCTGCTTTCTCGTTTCAACTCGCTTTCCTTCCCTCCACTGGCGGCCCGTTCCGCCACGTCGTCTCAAAACGCCGGCCGCGTGACTGACTGCGCTTTTATTCTTTCATTTTCCGTCTCTTCTCCACCGCGCGCTGCAGCCATGGCGGGCGGACGAGGGCGAATTTATGTCAGTCCAGCGAGGGGGAGGGGGGACACGCAGTTCGACGTCCGCGGACATCGAAATGGCGCCACTGCGGTGGTGATTTGTCCGTAAAAATAATGAACACGACGCGTGGCCGGGCGATATTGCAAAAATGAATGGATAGAGATAGAGCGCGGCCCGAGCGAGAGAGCGAGAGAGAGAGAGAGAGAGAGAGAGAGAGAGAGAGAGAGAGAGAGAGAGAGAGAGAGAGAGAGAGAGAGAGAGAGAGAGAGAACGAGAGGGAGGGAGAGAGAGGGAGATAGGGAGGGTGATGGATGCGTTTGCCCCGCTGACGTGGCCCTCTTGTTCTCTCTCATCCCTCTCTTCTTTATTCTCGCACGCTTTAATCGCGACCTAGGCCATTTCCACCGCAAAAGGGGGGGGGAGAGGGAGAGGGTGAAAGAGGGAGACACAGGGAGACGGAGAGAGAAGCGCAATAACCCGCGGCATCGTCGCCATGCAGCACGGCGGGGCAAGGCGCGGCACAGCGGACAGAGACTCTGATTAAAAACAACAAAAACGCGCGGCGACTTGGGAAAAGACGAACACGGAACGCGATGCGAGTTTGGCGACCTGAAGGCCGAAGGAACGGGGTGAACACGGAGCCGCTTCAGAACGAGAAATGATAAGACAGCACCTCGCGCGGGGCGCACGGAAAACCCGTTGTGACAGCTATGCTGGCTGATATGGGGCCAGCCAAGAATCAGCAGTCGTGGTAACTAAAAATATTGCTAGCAGCATCAGCAATCATGCCTGGTCGCGACAGCCAACCACATTTGTTGTGCTAGCTAATCCCTCAGTTACAAACGCTAATAATTTTTTTACTCTCCGAAAAATACTGAGACGGGAATAGAACCCGGGACTACTGGCTGAGAACCGTGCTCGGAGGCACTGAGCCACGGAAGCAATGTGTGTGCCCGCGATGGCCCTTGCCCCAATGTCGCCCGGGTGGTGAGCCGTAAAAAAAATTTGCAACGTTGGGGGCATATTGAAAAATTTGAATGGATGAGATAGAGCGCGGCAGCTAAGCCGATGAGTAGTCAGAAGAAAGCCCAGAGCTAGGGGACGAGTAAACGAGGGAGTGGCTAGGAAACACTATGAGTGCGGAGAAAAGGGATGATGGATTTTGCCAGCTAAACCGTCCCTCTTTTTCTCTCCTTAGCTATTTAAAATTTGGTGGGCCACCAGCAAGAGGGGGGGGGAGAAGGTAAAGAGGAGACTGCGGGTAGCGGAGAACAATTAACTGGCGGCATCTCGCTGACCCCCAAGCTGTCAAAAGGGGAAGAGCTCTGCTTAACAACTAAGAGGGGACTTGTTAAACCGGGTGGGGTTTGGCGGGGCGGGACGGGGCCGGGGCCCCCGGGGAAAGCGGGCGGGGCGGGGCGGGGCGGGGCGGGGCGGGGCGTTCCCGTCCCGTCACGCCACCCCCTCCTCGTCGCGCGTTCCTCGACAGTATCGCGGAAACTTTAGCGCGACAACATCCGCCGGGCATTTTGCCTTTATTTTTCTTATTCTCCCCTAAAAAAAAGGGGTGAAGCGGTGAGGGGGGGAGGGCGCTTCCGAGGTAGCGCGCCAAAGAGTGGGGGCAGGCAAAACATCAGCATCGACTCGACTATGCAGCCAGCCAGCCAGCCAGCCAGCCGTGCCGTCCCGCGACACGCTTACTGCGACCAATTTCCGGGACACACGAAAATGGAGGTCGCGGGAGGGTGGAGGGCGAGTGAAGGAAGCGGGCACTGGCATGTGGACGCGACGACGCGGCCCGGCCCGGCCCGCGAAGGACCGCAGGACGAGGGAGTTTACTCTCAACGTCGCCGCGCTCCGGACAGAGCCGCTGCGCTCCCCCTATTTTCGTGCGTTCCCTTCTCCATTCTCATTATTTTTCTGCCCGGCTGGTGTCCGCCAGTGTGCGCGGCACAACGCGGAAGGGTATTCGCTGGCACGGCCGCGGGGCAGAGGGCCGCAAGGGCCGCAAGGAGGGGAGGGGGAGGGGGAGCCGCCAGCTCGGCCGCCAGGCCTGTTGGCCGATGATTGATGTCGGACCGACTCTCTAAGTACCGCGAACAGCGAAGGAAGCTGGGCCGAGTCCGGCGAGTCTGTCTGCCCCGCCAATCAGAAGGGAATTAATGCTCTCGCCTCGACTCGCTGGAGTGGAGCGGAGCGCCGCGGTCCAATAAAGAACAGACTCGCGACAACACCGACTGCCCATCACAGCAGTGGCGCGGCGACCGCGGGCGCAGATTCGTGTTTTTCCTCCTTTTTCACGATGATTGGAATTGGCGCAGCACAGAACGAGTGGAACGCACTGCACTGCCAACGGCGGCGCGTCATTAAGCCCTTTTCGATTCCGTTTTTCGCTTTCGGGCCGATTAATCCCGATCCCCTTCCCCGGCGGAGCTACCTTGATTTATCGCGGCGGCCCGGATAAGCCGCATGGCCGCGACGGGCGGGGCGGGGCGGGGGGGGGGGCGGGGGGTGGGCGGGGCGGGCGGGGTGGGGCGGGGCGGGGCGGGGCGGGGCGGGGGGCGGGGGGGGTGGGTGGGGCGGGGCACGGCGCTGGCCTTCACTAACGTAATTCTTAGGTCGTCGTCTGCGCCGCGGGGCGGGGCGGAACGGAACGGGGACCCCAGGAACACAACTGTGGCAGAGGCCGGGCTCACGTGCCGAGCAGGTAGTCGAAAACACGGGACATCAATAAATTGAAACCCCCCCGGCAAGCCTGCGGCCGACACAGCCGCGCCGGGGCGCGGCAGGGCCGTGCAGGCCGTGCAGGCAGGGCGCCCCCTTGCCAGTCACATCACACGCCGGCCCATCCCACCGCCCCTCCTCCAGCACCACTACGAGTGCGCCTTGGAAATAATTCAAGGCTCCTGGACGTGATATAGTGACCGTGTCCACCGTGTCCACCACCACGGCGACGGCGGCCGTGCCGGTCGGCTGACTGGACTTGCAGTGGCGTCGCCCCGGCCGTGTCCGGGACTCGGCGACGACGTCGTCCTGACGTCGTCCTGGTCCGCGCGCAGCCCGCCGCGGCCTGGACGGCATCGACCGCGGCGTGGTGCCCCATCCGCATTATTGATCGAAAAGAGCAGCCAAGGCCGGCAGGCCGACGGCAGGCCGGCGAGGACGACCGTGACTGTGATTGCCGGGGAGTGGCGGGCCGGGGCGGGCTGGTGCACCTGGACGAGGTGGACGCACTGGAGGCGGCTCTCGTGTCTTCAGCGGCGGAACGAACACAAGCGG